TAACCATCAATCACATACTGCTGTTTTACACTAACTATACAATAAAGCACTGAATTATGTTTTTCAGTGCCAGTGTGTAAACACAGTATTACTCTGCTCGACTTGTTTCTGCAGATTGTGCTAGTTTCCTGCATAGGCTTACCTACTTAGCGACAAGATGGCCTTCAACTACACACCTTAGATGTCTATGGTTAGTGTTGTAAGGCATGTAGTTAAATAACCAGTGTCCACAGTGGTGCCCACAGCTGGCAGCTAGGCAGTTCAGTGCAAGGTCAGCAACAATGTGCTTAAAGTTTACATTTTTATCTTTCTGGTTATGGCAGTTTACCAGTGGTGATCCATGACTATCAGAGTTAGTCCTTCAATTCAAGCTACAAATGTCAAAACTAAGGGTTTCACACCTACCTTGTTTGGACTGGACCGTCGGACTTTTCAGTTTTGTCTAAACCAAAATAGCAGGTGTGAAAGGTGCCTTAGACCACAGTCTGGACCAAAGAACCAAAGGACCAAAATTTGGTCCGACCAAAAGAGGTGGTCTTGGTTCGGTTCGTTTGCAGTGTGAAAACACTTTTTTGAATGATTCAGGCTTTAGAACCATTAACAGTAAGTGGAGGCAGGCAATTGTCACCCATTAAACAATAGAAGCAGAAAAAGAAGGGGAAGAGAAGTAAAAATGAGCCGCAGTAGCACATCAGGAGAAGAGGAGACAAAATACTTCAGCATAATTTGGTCTGATGAAAAAGTCAAAAGTCAACCTGAGAAAAATACATAAGCAATTTGTGTACACGCCGATGTCAGATGCATGCCCCTCTACAAACCAGTCTATGTCAAGTATACGGAGACACAACCCACATTCGTGATGATGGCAAGACGTAGGTATGTCATGCAAAGTTCTTTAATGCGCTAAATTGTAATATAAACTGGATCAAATGTATACAACATAAAAAAGACATGAACCTTGGTTCAGACTTTCAGATATGAAAACAGCCTAAGTCAAAACATTAGGAAAAAACTTCTATGGTAAAGTTCACTTCCACTAGCTTCCCTATAGGACTCTAGTAGATTGTTAGCGCTAAGCTAATAGTGTTTTGTATTAATATTTTTTGGCCACTCTGAATTAAACACTGGTATTTGAAGCTTCTGAAAGACTTCAATGTTTTACTTGAAGCTTGTGACATATAAGCCTATACTTAATCTTGTCATAGAGCCTCTTTCACTAAAGAGCTCTGTTATAGAGCCTCTGCTGCTGTTTCTATTTCTAACAACCCACTGATTTGGCTGCTGCTTGTATTCACAGCCAGTGATGTATCTATGACTTTCACAAGCCCTAGAATGACATTTTTTCTCACAAAATTGGTCTTTTAGAAAATCAAAATGAGGTTGGTTGATTCCTCTATCTTTGTAATGTTGGTGATTAATCTAACATGTTACAATTTCTCTTCTGCTTTTATAGAAGAGCTTGCTTAGCTATATCGAAGAGAAACTTGGAGAAAAACAGCTCTTGATTGGCTAGTTTTCTTTTTGAGCGATTCAAAAATGTAACCCTTTTGTTTCCATCTAAAACTTAACAATGGAGAAAGAACTGTCCTGCAAAGCTTGCAGAGTTTAAGTACCAGCATGATTCTATTGAATATAGACTAAACAGATTCTATTTATTTCATTATTCCATTGAAACTAAACCTCTATTGAAAATTAAATAAAAATTACAGACAGGTATTTTTCAGTTACCGGAAATCACTGCGCCTTCTCTGAAGGCCTAAAATGCTCTTAGGTTTCACCGCCAGAACCACACTGGACTAGTGAGAATTTGACCCACCACTTTTCAAGGTTTACTGGGACATTTTTGGTTGGGTTCAGGACAAAGAACCCTACACTTTTCTTAAACTGCAAGGACCACTGACCCATCAGCATGAACAGAGAGTGAAAGTCAAGAGCAGAACCAATCAAAACATCAATTTCAGCTGGAGATGTTTTAGCTCTATTGAAAGGGTGGGATATTGAACAGGTAACTTTCTCCTTTGGCAGAACTCAGCAGTAAAACTGCAAGTTCAAAACATACACTGACACTGTTTATATAGCTTTAATGGGCCATGTCTTTACATTATAGCCATCACATATGCTTTATGTAGCGCTAAAAGTTTTAGTTAGTCAGTCAATGGTCCTGTTGTCTTTTGTAAGTTATAAAAAATGTTGTTCCTCTAGTATTTTAAAAGCAATAAATTTTGCCCCACAGCTTTTGGAGACGTGGCTCCACTCCTGGTTGTTACAATGAAGCAGGCTAGTTGGTGGTTGTCACCCTCAGTACAGCTGTGTTGCTGGAACACAACACCTCCTACATGGCTCCCCAACCTGTTATCCCCCCACCATCCCTCAAAAACGTAAAAGAATTTCTGGCTTTCTGGTTACACCACTAGTGTGTTCATGTGTGACATAAATGTATGTACTGATGTGTGCGTGTCTCTGGTGACTAGGCTGCCTTCCGCTTTCTTTGACTGCATGCGTTCTCTGGTAGAAGAAAGATGCTGGAGCACCTGCTGAATATTTTCAAATCTGCTGTGGACTGTACTTGTCAGAGATGGTTCCCCTGACAACCAGCAAATGGCCTGAGGGACTCTTCCTGGAGTCCAGAATATGCTAGTCCACCATGTAAGTCCACCCTGCAAGAGTCACTTTGTTTTTACAGCGAAAAAAGACGTATTACTGCTAATTTTGCATTGATTTTGTTTTTATAAATTCATAGCAGTTCCTCTCTGGAGATAAAAGTCATTAAGCACCAAACTGCAGAGGTTGCCCACAGACATACTGCATGACGGATGCAGCATCATGTTTGTATGTGACTGTTCCATATCACTAACTTGTGAGGTGCATCATTTCATGCTGTGGCAGTGATCATACACACTTTAAAAAGATGGTTCTTCAAGGGTTATTTAGTAAAGAAAATGGTTCCATATAGAACCATAAACAATCAAAGAACCCTTTGCAGGATTAAAGGGTTTTTTGCATCATGAAATGGTTTTTCAGCTTTATGAAGAATGTGCTACACATGGTTCTACATAGAACCTTTCTGAAAAGGATTGTATATAGCACCAACAAGGGTTCTATTATTGTAACAAACCTGACATTGTAATGATAGAAGCACGCTTTTTGGTGCTATATAGAACCCTTTTCAAAAAGGTTCTATAAAGAACCATCCACAGCACAGTAGCTTCCATGGATCTGAAGAACCGTTTCACCATGCAAAGAGCCCTTCAGTCATGCAAAGGGTTCTTTGAGTGTTCTATATAGAACCATTTTCTTTACTAAAGAATCCTTAAAGAAGTATCTTTTTTAGGTGTGTAGTTGAGAAATTAGGTGTTTTGAGCATGCCAGTTCCTCTCACTGATAATGATAAAGTTCAGATTTCCAAATATGACCTTACATTTTCACTTCAGCTAATCAGATATAGTTATCAGATGTTTGGTGTCTGAATGAGCCACACATTCAACATGATTTCATAAGGCAAATGTTTATTGTAATACAGGTGGGTTTCAAGAATGTGAGAATGTGGTCTTTGTCATAAGCTATGATACAGTCTCAATTTACAATGCAAAGGATTTGATATGGTTCCCCAGATGGCAAAGAAACATTGACATTGTCCAATTCAGTGCAGAACTACTGAATCAGCATTGATTTGTAATTGACTAGTTGACTTTAGGTCATCAGTCAAAACAGACAGAAATTACATAATATCAGTGTTGATTCTATGTTACTTTGTTATCTGGGATGTGTTTGTTGTGCCCAATTTGTCCTGAATGTGTCCCAGATGCCTAAGAGAAAACGAGAGAAAGTGGGGAGGCTTTAGTGTAGCCATGACATTTTTTGGTTCCCTTTTAGGGGGAGAGAGAGAGAGAGCAAGAGTGTGTGTGTGTGTGTGTGTGTGTGTGTGTGTGTGTGTGTGAGAGAGAGAGAGAGAGAGAGAGAGAGAGAGAGGACTACACTCTTTTTCTTTAGTAAAGAAATGCTTATATTTACAACCATGAGTTCTATATAGAACAATTTCATGGTTAAATGGTTCCTTGCATAGTGAAATGGTTCTACAGATTGATGGAGAATGTGTTGTATATGGTTCTATATACAGAACCTTACTGAAAAGCGTTCTACGTGGCACCAATATGGGTTCTTCTATTGTTATAAGCTTGTAAGCCTGACATCGTAACAACAGAAAAACCCTTTTTGGTGCTACATAGAACCATTTTCAAAAAGGTTCTATATAGAACCATTTAATGGTTGAATAGTTATTTGCATGGTGAAATGGTTCTTCAGATTGACGGATAATGTTTTGTATATGGTTCTACATGGAGCCTTACTGAAAATGGCTCTGCATAGCACCAAAATGGTTCATCTATTCTTACGATGTCAAACTTGTAACAATAGAAGGACCCTGTTCGGTGCTATATAGAGTTCTACAGAGAACCAAATAGCCTACAACACATCAATCTGAAGAACCATTTCACCAAGAACAGCTAAGAACAGTTTAACCATGGAATTGTATGGCTCTATATAGAACTAGTGGTTCTAAATAGAACCATTCCCTTTACTAAAGAACACTTGGATGTAGATTGAGCAGTCTGAGGGCAGCAGTGCTTGTTTTTTAGCGTATACTAAAAAATAAGAATCTCAAACAGTTAAACTGCCGTCACTACATTTTGTATTAATATATTATTATTCGTACTATTATTTCATTGGTAATCTGTACTCAGCGACACCGAAAAACCGTTGGTGTTTACCGGCCACACGCGCGAATCGAACGCGTTTTTTTCTCCACCTCTATTCAGACAAAAGTCGCCGATTGGAGGATCGCTTGTGAGTGCGAACTAACAGCCAATCGCGTCACAACAGCTTCTACGATCTCAGCCAATCCCAGGGGATGAGGGGCGGGCTTTGTCGGAATAGCGGTGGAAAACAAAAAATAACGCCGTGTCTCAGGTAGACTCTGCTCCATAGCGTTCTGATGGCGCCCGTCCGTGTGTGCGTATGAGTGTGTGCGCGCGCGCCTGCGAGTGTGTGCGAGGGAGTTTTGCTCCTCGCCGTTCGCTCATGAGACGGAAAACGCGGCAAAGACGACGAGCCGTGGCGAATGCTAAAGAAAAGCGGCCCCGTTCTTAGCTTTAGCCGAGCAACGGCCCTATTGCGAGTAAATGGGATTCAACGTCGTCCGAGAATGTAAAGACTCTTCTGAAGGATGGGAGGAAAAAGCTTCGCTGCTACGCTGCTGTTTCTGGGCTGCATCTCCGTGTCCTCGGTCGATGCCGGTAAGTTTAGCATGGCGAGCAGCCCCAGCAGGCTTAAACCGACACGACAGGGGTGAATGTTGGTGTTCTGGTGTGCTGAGAACAACATCTGGCTGTTATCAGCAGAGCCATCAGACAGACATTGTGGGGCATGTTCACTGGGGTTGAGGGCAGAAGAAATGGACAACCTGTTCCTCATATAGGTTACATCCATGGAGCAACAGCATAGTATAGTCAGCCATCCTACACCTAGGATTCAAAAGAAAAGGGGAGAAAATGGGAAATAAATAGCATAACTTGGGCCTCAGCCCTACATTCTGTGGGGTTTTCCCCATTTTGTGTGTGCATGTTTGGACTCATTCACCCCATCATCTGTCATTTTGACCCAAGCCAAACAGGCTCTGGTGGGCAAGCGATAAGGAAAACCTTAAAGTTTCATTTAGGGTCTAACCTGGACCTCACTGAGTGAGCCTTTAACATATGCTGCTTAGTTGTGGTTGTATGCATGTCGCCTGTTAATAGCTACACAGCCTGAGACTATGGGCTGCTGCATGCATCACGACGACAGCTTTCCCTGAAACCACAGGTTAAGACATGCATTGGATATAAATCTTTCAATACCTTTCATCAATAATCAGTTACCAGGGATTGCATTCACTCATGACTGGGCTGTCTTGAATTTGGATTAACAGAATGTTTACTTCGGGCTTTTAGTGTCCAGTTTCCTCAACAATGACAATACAATGAATGCTATATCCATTATGCAGATTAAGGCATAAAAAATCTACCCTTAGGGGCCTCTGATTAAGGACAGAGTGATCTGTATTCTCAACCAGGCCAAAGAGAAGCGCACAGGTTTGTTGTGTACTGTGCACTGCAGCCCTAATAATGTTTTGTACTGTTGTTTTGATCAGCAGCAATAGTGGGTGTGCGGCTCTGCTAACCTGTAATATTCATTGCAAACTAACCCGGCGGGTCTCATCCCAGCCACCCACGCTCCATTATCCACACACGTTCAAGGAGATCCACTCTCGCTTGCTGCGTGCATGTACCTTTATGCATGTGAGAATAAATGAGGAGCAAATGAGCGGGGCAGAAGAGGTATGGAATCCAGGCAGCTTAATGGGATTACATGTTTGAGATACAAAGCGGTAATAGCAATCCACGAATAAATAAATAAAGCCATAGATAGGTTGGATTTTCATGTAAATTGCTCTCTCAACGTGAGCGAATGTAAACAAGAGGACTAGAAAATGAAGGCAAATGCAAAGCACCGACGTTAAGAAGGAATAGGTTTACGGGAGCTGAATGGTTTTTTACCTTTAAACTAGAAAATTGGCTTATGAATAGAGAGTAAATGGAAAGCAGTGGAAGCTGAAATTAAAAGAACCTTCACTTTTGAACAGGCAGAGAATAATCTGTCATGCAATACGTTTTCAAAGTAACCTTGTGAACCCTGCCTATGAGGCAGCATAGCCCATCACACTGAATAGGCAGCGTCTAGTTTTCCCTTTCATGTGAACAGGAGAGGCTCCATCAACAAAGCCTCTTCCCATATCATCTCTCTAATCAGGCAATGCAGCAGAGAACAGCGCTGATGCACGGCGAGAGAACAAACGGGCAGCACGTTCAGTCCTAATTGAGGGAATAACCCAGTTTACAGACAGGCGAGTTTACTACACAGCCACAACAAAGGCAGCAGGTGATGCCAACCTGCAGCAAATGTGCTAGAACGCTGAACAGCCGTGAAGGTTTCGCACGAGAATTTACCTCCTCGTTGCGTGTGATGAAAGACGGAGGCGTGAAACGCTGGGGTCTCTCTCACTCACTAAATGGCTGTTTCATCTGACAGTGGCAGTTGCTTCGTGAAAGTTATGGGAGGATATCATGAATATTGTATGAGCCTGATATTGTTCTGGGAAGATTTGTGTGGTTCTGGGACGTGTGAATTGCGCACAGATGGACGACACAGATCCAGACGTTTTTGCAAATGTCAAACAAATAGAAAGAAATAAAGATGCAATAGTGAACTAATTCGTTATTAACCATCAGTGTCAAATACTATATTGTTTCATTTTACTCATTTTTCCAAGATAAATCAGTTGGCTCACTAGAAAAAAGTTTGCTGTGGCAAATACAAGTGTAGCTGTAAGCGAGCACACAGAGCCAGGATTTGGGTGCCATTTAACTTCAGAATGGCACCACTGGTGGAGTCAGGCTGTCAGACTTGAAGAGACAGAGCTGCTCTTTGGCCCAGAGGCTGGAGTTTGGAGCTCAGAGGGCTAATCCACTCAGCCTAAGGCTTGCATCCAGTTCGGGGTGCTGCTGACACTGACTGCAAAACCACATGTGCAGAAATGAGAAGATCTTTTGCGTAAAGAAATATCAAAAACCTCACTGATTTCCATACATGCATTTGAAGCACTTTTTGATATTGTAATGCAAGACAGCTCACAGTTTTTCATTCATCAAGGTACAAACAATGTAAATGTACAATCAGAGGTACATTTTAAGGTCCAATTGTGTACCTTAAATAAGTTTTAAGGTAAAAAGTATATATTTGTACCTTTTCATAATCTAATGTTTTAAAACAGAACAATAAAAAAAAAGCCTGGAGACGAGACGGGGTGTGTGGAGTCAATACAACTTAGAAAAGATAATTTAAAATGGATTATGGTACAATTATGTTCCCTGACTAAAGGCACTGAGATGTACCCTTTAAGGTACCACCCCAGAGACAAAAGGGGTCCTGCCCCAACGAGAGTTTAGTACCTTTTTTTTCTGAGAGTGCATGAGTATAACTACTCGCTGATGTATTCTGCATGTCTTCTCTTCACTGTCATTAGTAACAATAGTGTTTGCAGAGCGACGTCCTGGTTTTCAAGCAAGTGCTAAAATATTAAATATTACATTGCTTAGCCGCCTACAATATTGTCATTGTACCATAATGCATTTTTCAGAATACCAAACTCCAGCCTCTGGCCACATGATTAACAGTGTTTTCCCCGTTGAGCCATAAGACATTTTATTTGGAAGTTCATGTGCTTATTCTGCTTATTATAGATATTATTTTCTGTATATGAGTTTATACTTATTGACACTGCCTTTTTATTCTTTCTTCAGCATCATAGGGAATATGGTAGTATGTTGTTGTACTGTAAAGCATTTGTTAGGAATAGTATTATAAGCTCTGTGTGGTTTCTCATTTCATGTCCATGATGGCTGGACAAGTTTGTCCTGACAATAAACTAATTATTACCAAATTTCAAGCAAATTTGCCAAGATAGACTTCCAAATATCACATCCTGGAAATTCCCTGTATATATCATGTGTACTACAGAAGGTCTGTAGAGAATTAGTTAGGTTGTACTCATACTAGGGCTGCACGGTTCTTAATATATTAATGAATAAATGTCATTTTTTACACTGTTAAGGCGTTTTACCCTTCTAGCACATGTGTATGTGCTGTAGCTGTATCTCCATTACAGTAGCCCTGTCATTTAAATAGGGCTTTTAAATGGCAAGAAGTTCCATTGACGGAGTTCTTGATTTCCAGCCACTGCAATACTGTCAGTTTGTTCATGATTGAAGTATATCAAGTCTAAAGTCTCATTCAAAAGCAAAACACAGCATTGATGGAGCAACACCAGCAATATCGGTAACATTAGCACTAGAGGACGCCTTCATTAGTGTATGTAAGTGCTTGCAGGAGAACTATGGATAAATCAACAGCCTGCAAATGAACAAATGCAACAACAAAGTTGAAAGCTCCAGTTCCCCTCGAAATAAAATGTAACATAGTATGAGAGAGAGGGGCTACAGTCGAGGAGGAGCTGGAACATGCAGCCACTGTTGCTCTCACTGGATGTCAGTGATGAACACTGGAAACTGCGTACACCTTCATCCTGAAGGCACATGATTTAAAAGCAAGACAGATTTCGTATATCTATAAAATGCACTGCTTTTTAATTAAATAGTCTTTCTTTAGGGTCAAATTTTAAAACAAAACAATATAAAACAAATAAAACAAATTTAAAATAAAACAAATATGAATCAACCCTGTTCTTGAATCAAATCACATCGAAATGGTGTGGGAGGCTCTGGTCCTGAAGAGATGGATTCCTGCACAGTTTGGTGATTCTTCTGTTAAAACACACCTGATTCAACTCAGCGGTTAACTGCCAAGTTTAGTTGGAATGTTAGTGCAGGGAAAACACCAAACTATGCTGGTCTCCGGCCCTCAATTCCCCACCCCTGGCATGAAGTAACGCGCCAAGATCACGATTTTAATACAGTTTTTTGTGCAGCTCTAACCCATGCAGATCTCGACTAAAAGATGTACTTATTATATCAACCCAAACATGCACACATCTCTGAGCAGTAGTCCTATGACTACTCCTTTGCACACATTCCATTCAAGTCAAGTAGAGTCCAATACTTTCACATTTGTAAAAGAGCAGTGTTATGTAAGTTAATCACAGTTAACCATGACTAAAGATAGCTACAGTTACAGCTGCGTACTCTCTCATCAGACAGCAACCCCTCTTCACCCTCTTAGCAAATTGATTTAGGCTGATTGTTCGAAAGCATCCCGAAAAGCTGTTTGCAATCAGATGTTGACACAAGAACAATTTGAAATCACACAGTTAGGAAATAGCTGATGTGCTGCATCTGTGTTTGCATCTAAAAAGTCTAATTTTGATAAGCCACTTGGCGTGAACTTCACAGAATAGCGTTTATAAGCCATAAGCTCCAGATATGTGGCTGTACGTTACATTTGGACTCGACTGAAATTTGCTACAGTAAATATTCTCTCTCGAGCCTGCCTAAGAGATAAATGTTGAGAGCTTGCTTTATTTATGAGGCCTGGCATGGCCAAGGGCCGAGGAGGCAGCCAGTCCACGCCAGCATCCTCAGCTCATCAGCCCTGGTGGAGTAAATCACTGCAGCAGGCACAGGTGGTGAGGAGGTGCACTGGCCATGCCTATGTCCTGCTTTTTTCACATAGCTCACACTCATGCTGCCACTGATAAACCTACAGCAGATAGAACTGCACAGGAGATTGTGGCTCTGATTAAAAACCTTGCAGAGCTTTAATGTGGCCTTGTGTGAAAATTAATACCCCGCGTATACAACCTTACAACCTTATAAAAATGCTGGTACCAAACCAGGTGGCACCACATGACCACCAGAAGCCAGAAATGAAAATGAAATTAATGACAATTAGAATTAAATTATAGAGCAAAGCTGCTCAAGACATCAGATTTAATTACTCAAATAGGTTTAAAATGACTAAGTAATAGAAGTTTTGTAATTATATTTGATGCATATTTGATTTCGTACCAGAATGGACTTAAGGTTTTAATATAATGTAAGGTTATTATATATTATACAGTCATATGCCAAACTTTTTACAATGCTTACAATTACAATGCTTTGTTGATTTTCTATGTGAAAATAAGTTTAACATCCTCAACATGGCTTTAGTGCACAGTTTATAAGTGTATACAAGTTATAAGTAAGTATAACACATGGGACAAAATAAAACATTAAATATAAAATGTGCCATGACTTTTGAACAGGCCACATTTTATGTTTCAGCAAATAAACAGTAGTTGTGCAAAGGTCTGTTCTTTGCAGAGGATGTGTAGTTTTTTCCACTTAGAAAATCAAAAAAAACATGTAATTTGACCAGTGGCAACAAAAATTTGCATATGACAGTATAAGGTTGTTACATAATACAAACATTTGCAAGGGCCACTTGGGCCACTAAACCCAATCTAAAGGCCAAAATGAAGAGTTCGTGGCCAGAATTATAGAAACATTTATTATATCGATATTGTTTTTGCTTCAGTACCAAAAACCCTTAGGTGTTGCATTGAGAAAGGAAATATTTATGAAAACGTTAACATTAATAAAATGTTAGCTATTGTGTTGGCTACCAAATTGCATTTATGCATTTAGTTCTGTGTCTGGATATGTGAAAATTCAGCTTGTCTGGTGTTTTTTTAAAAGGGTAAAAATGCAAAAAAAAATTCAAGACAAGTACGTTTTTGTACAGGGTCTGCATTTTTAGTGGCCAAATGTGTGTGAAATGTTTCGGCCAGAAGCTCTGGGCAAAAGACGATGTTGATCCCTGATTATAAGGATTATATAAGATTAAGAATCACTGTAAGGATAAGTGAAAAACTATGAACTGGACTTTTGCACTACACATCTCTCCAGTTGAATGGATGCACTTGGAAGCCACAGTGAGCAGAAGGAATATGCAGTAGGATGGCAGAGCTTTGGGTTGAGTGCAAAGCCTAAGAGCTGATCAATAGATTCAAAACACATTTGTCTCTGGGGACAGGCCAATACACTTTGCTTAGGCACGATCTGTGATTCATGGGAAATATAGATCAGTCATGCAAGTCCGGCGAGACAAGCTATTACCAGGCAATGGGATCCAGTTAAACTAATTGAACGCACTGGGACATCATTCTACCCATGATAGAGTAACAAAGAAGTACAAAAGTAACATCAGCAGCATTTTATGCAAGCACCATAGATGGCATGAAAGAAGAACAAAGAACTTTGCTACCCATGATAGAGTAACAAAGAACACATAAGAAATAACAGCAGCATTGTGTTCTAGCAGCATAACGCAAACAGCAGACCTGTGCTTTCATTTCCAGGCTGACAGTAGGCCTGCAGAAACAGAGACATAGCTGTGGAGTCGTCCCTTTCATTTAAAGAAGGAGGTGTATGCTACTTTAAATTCAAGACAGTCATTTTTTTCATTTGATTTAAAGAATGATAATGAGGTTATGACGGGGCAGGATTAGTGCTGGGCAATGTGTCGTCTGTACTGGTGTGCCGGAAGTGGTGTCCTCATTTTTGAAGGGGCCTAAAACTTTAAAAAGTTTAATATGTCGTGTTATGCAGAGTTCTGTAGCATAGCATTGCACTCTTCAGCCTCGTCGGTTTAACAGAATTCATGATCTTGTGTCCTTTTTGTGTTTTCGTCCATCAGCATTCTATCAGTACCTATCATGCATTACACAAATACATCATATAACCGTAGTGCTTTGAAATTGCACATCATTCTGTAGTTGGTGTCATGGCCATATTAGCTGCTCCTGGTCTAAACTGATTTTCTCTAAGAGAAAAATGAATAGGATTTTCAAAAATTGCCACTATCATGCCTCATCATACTCAAAAGCTTCCAAAACACAGTAGGTTTTGTCCTGTGTGCATTCTTCCACTGCATTATGTGGTCGTTAAGGAGTCAAAATATGTAGTTATGTAATAACTGAAGTTTGGGGGGAGGAACATGCCTGAAACCTCTTCAAATCGAACGCCCTATAAATTCACATCCACGCCTCCCGTTCTCGTGACGAAGGGTTCGCAATCCCCACCGCCACCCCATCACCTCCCTGTTCCTCAGTCCTGCATCAGTCCTACTACAGCTATGGGGGGGTCTGGCCTTCTAGCTACAGGCAGAAGCTACACAGAACTCCAGCCCAAGTTCTCAGAGTTCTCCCCCTCCCTCAATCAGTCTTCCCCCATACTGCCACCATGCTAAAGGCATGGTCTAAGCTCACAAAATGAACATTGCTACATCCATGCTAATAGCAAGGTAGCACTCCTGTGCATTGAAATGAAAAAAGGTCTACTATTAAACTTTATTATATATTGACACCATCTACTCCTAATGCACTTTACTACATTAGGAGTACACTTAACAAAGCTTGCTGGCATGTTGATAGCGGCAGTTTTTTGAGAAATCCAGCTTAGACCTGGGCTTTCTAATATGGGCGTGATGCCGACTGCGTAAGGCTGGCACAACTTCAGTGGTCTATTGAAAATCCCCCAATGGTGCCAAAGAAATCCTGACTGCTAGCATAGGCACTAATGTGGAGGCTAATAAATACATATTTTACATTTGGCCTCCTAGCTGTTACGTTTGCTACATCATCTGAAGGAGGTTCCCCCAGTCTTTAAAGCAGAAAACCTCACTCTAGGGATTGCGCGGCACAGCTGTAGCAGGAGATTGGGTATGTTTACAACAGATGTTGCAATGGTTACGTTTTTCACTTTGGCTGAAGTGTCCCTTTAAGAGTAGCAACAGATAAAGGGCATTGTATCTGTGAGAACATTACATTCCATAAAACAGTGATGTCCCTGTGGCAGTAGAAACACACTACATAAAGTCCCCTTTAGTGTAGTTTTATTGGAAGAAAACAGAAAAGTCTGTCCCATCAAAACAAGCCCTGTTATGTTTGGCATTCATTTAACAGACTGTTATTCAGAGATTCATTAACTTTATTAATGCAAACTTCATTAAATATCGAGATCCTGAGAACTATTGTGGAATTGAATTTTATTATTATTGCCTGGCGCTAGTTAGGACCTAATGGCTTCTTCAGACACGGTTCGTATAGCTCAGCAGCACTCACTAGGTTCCCCTGGGTTCCACAGCCAATCCATGCAAGGATCCACAGCTTCGCAGTGATGTTGCACTGAATCCAGATGTCACTGCAGAAATCTTGAGGCCATATCTATGATGACTCAGACATTTAAGCTTTTCTTCCCAAGTTTTTGAAAGTTATTTGTGCCTGAGGCCATGTATAAACCTGTCTTGCTGTATGGATCACCATCTTTAGAGCTGGGCTGATGTCTGCTATTTCTGGCTACTGGAACATATGTAAATGGAACACCTGCAAACAAAAGGGAACGTGTGCTTACAGCACTAGCCTTGGTATGACACTATAAAGCTTGAGTTAAAGAGGTAAATAAAGCCGAATGTAAGTGGTTACAGTAAGGCATTACATGCAGTTTTTACCAGACCCCAAAAACAGAATTTGCGTAGGACGTCCTTCCTGATGTCCTTCCTCTTGGTGGACAGAACAACCTCCTACCTGGACAACCTTCTATTTTCTCTCTCACTCCCTCTTATGTTTTTTGTCTTTCAAAATATTTTCCATATTTAAGGGATGTGGATTTGCAATATTTTGATAGATGATGTAAGGCAGACACTGCTACTCTACTGTCAGCGAACATTAGGGATGACTAGGTATTAACTGTGGTGATTTATGCATCGCTGCTTTACTATTCTGACGAATGACAACACAGTCACAACATCTGAGGCCCTTTCTCTGCATGCTTCTCATTTAATTCATGAGGACAAAACACTGGCAAAAAGCAGACGGCAGCATGCGCTGTGAGCTGTGCCGAGCCGTTTGTTTTGTTTGTTGACCATTAAAGACACCGTGGCTAGTTCACATAACAATCTGAGAGCTCCCACATGAGTAAATAAAAGTAAAATGTAATGGAAGTATCGATTGAGAGCGACGTTAGAGCAGGTTGAGCGTCAGAGGGTTTCTAAGAACTGGAACTTGAAACACAGGGTCCTGTTTGGTGTTAGAAATGAGAGAGGGGGGCATTCGTGTGAAAAGCAGTGTGTGATCTTTTGAGCCGATCTCTTCACACACATAAGACGGAGATGTTCTCAGATACGCGCCACGTGCTGAGGGCCAGAACTGTTGAAAGGAAATGTGATAGGAAGCCCTCTCAACACCTTTTTTCTCTTCTTTTGTGACTTTTATCTTCAGACAGTTTGTCTGCGCCGCTCAATGTGACCATCAAGACCTTAGAGGGCAACTCGGCTGTGGTCACATGGGACATCCTGGAGGGGGACCCAGTCATCGGCTTTGCCATCACACAGCAGGTACTGATGTATTAAATACATCGAAAACTGAAATGGAAGATGAATGATTGACTTCACAGTAATGTGTGCTTGAGTTTGCACGTTCTGTGTAATTGAGTAAACTGGATTTGTACTGTGATTTATGTTTGTGTCTGACATGTTATCCTTGTGCTAAAAGTTAGGTTTGGATGCATTTTACCAGTTTTTGGTATTTCACATCAATGCCCAGGGCTTTTCCACAATGGTTGCTAAGATGTTGCTAGGCCATTTCTATGGTGTACCAGGTGATTGCTAAGGTGTTGCGAGGCCGTTGCTGTACTATCCCAGGTAGTTGCCAAGGTGTTCCAAGGCCATTGCTATGGTGACCTAGGTGGTTGCTAAGGTGTTGCTATGGTGTCCCAAGTGGTGGCTAAGATGTTGCTAGGCCATTTCTATGTTGTACCAAGTACTTGCTAAGGTGTTGCGAGGCCATTGCTATGGTAACTCAGGTGGTTGCTAAGGTGTTGTGAGACCATTGCTGTGGAATCTCAATTTCTTGCTAAGGTGTTGCGAGGCCATTGCTATGACATCCCAGGTAGTGTCCTATACGAAAAAAAAAAAACATTATGTTTGAATGAACGCTGTACGAAAACCATAGGTGCGATTGGTCCCAATTTCTGGGCACTATTCTTGTATAGGCTCTGATCTCGCAAAGTTCTGGTTCTAGCTCAAAAACTGCAACCTGTGAAAGTAGTACCAAAAAAAGAACTAATAATAAAATGAAGAATAGTAAGTTGGCCTTGTCCAAGCCAATTTAATAAGCCTGGGAATTTAAGGGATTAACCATGATAGTGTTTTCTGTTCAAATATGTTAGTTCAGCCTGTATTTGCTTGAAAATGGTGCTTTAAAAATCTCAATATCAGCTGGTATTATCAGTCAACTGATATATCAGTCAGGCCCTTCTGTGTACTACCTGCTGATGGCATTATTGACGTCCTACAGCACTTTGTGCATGCTTCACTTTCTGTGTGTGGGTGTTGCCTGTCCCGCAGTGGGACTGCGGAGATTGGCCAGTCGTCTGTGTGGACCAGTAATGAGGAATGAAATGACTACCATTGCTACCACACTATCACCGCACTAAACACTACACACACAGAGAGGCTATTTGTGTATAATGCTATCTTTTATATTGTCCTGTGTCATTATTGGAGTATAGGTGTGGGACAGTGGGTGGATCCTCTTCTATAGAAGTGACTAATAATAACATTCAGTGACTCTAGCCCACTGCAACTGAAATAAAACAATGACTATGAGGAGAATGCAGAATATCAGTTTCAATTTGAGGATAAACACATCAATACTGGATGATCCACATCAGTATCACGTCCTTTTTACAAAGATTTTCCCATTTTTGGAACCTAATTTGACAAATTAACATAATCTTGAATAAAATTGTCATGTTTATGACTTGATTGCAAAACCCTTGCAGTTGATTACTGTCTGAAGTCTGCGACCCATAAACATAAGCAGATGCTGGGTATCTTCCTTGGTGATGATGTGCCTGGATTATAATGTAGTCACTTTCAGGTCCTGAGTGGTTTGAGTGCTTTTTGCCTTCAGTCTCTCCTTCAGTAAATGAAATGCATGCTCTGTGGGGTTCAGGTCAGGTAATTCAGTGGGCTTGAGAATCTCCATAGTTGCTATAGTATGTTTTAGGTCATTGCCCTGCTGAAAGGTGAAGTGCTGCTCAATGAGTTTTGAGGAATTTGCTTGGATCCGAATGGTTAAGATGCTTCTGTTCACGTCAGAATTCATCCTACCATCACATTAATAAAGACAAGTGATCCAGCTCCACTGGTGGCCTTACATGCGCATTTACCATGGTTCACAGATGAGGTGTTATGCTATGGACCGTGTGCACAGTCATTTTCTGCATACTCTCCTCATTCCAGCACTCCGATGAAGGCTAATCTTCATCTTATCTGCCCCTACGTAGGGATGCAGCGATACGGGAATTCTGGGATGATGCCGATATTGATATTTTACATGTACATATCTTGCATGCAAAACTTCCCTCTGTAAAGGCTGCTGCACACGTCACACAGTGTCCAAAAGTTCGAAACCATTGTTTTCAATGGAGGTACACACAGTCGCGCTGGTGCTCCATCAAGCACTGTTCAAGTCCTCAGCGCCTCACAGCACGCCACTCAGCATTTTGCCATATCGAGACCACAGAAAGCCACAGTAGACATGTGGCCAAAAATGTACACAGAGAAAGGCAGCCAGTGTTTTAGGTCATCAGACAAACGCTCATTGTAAGTTACCTCAGCAAACATTACTATCCGAGCCCTTTTCAGCTCACATCTTTTAGCTCGAAAACAGCCCGTCTATGAAGAGGTAGTAAACTTATGACAAGTGTGATGAGTGACGCTGAACACTTTATTTCTTTCAATTTATACAACTAGAGTGTAAAAATGAACTTGAACCTAGCTTTTATTGGCTCTCCTTGCCGGTGTCTCGGGCACCAGAATGTAACTGCTGCACCATTTATAGTGAAACGGGAAAATTCGAACAAGAAGCTGGCGAATAAGAAACCAGCTTTGTAGTTTTAATGCTGATAGTCTTTTTTGCTAAGGAGATTTAAGCCATCAGAGCATCCTACCTAGAGTTTAATGTACAGAGCTATCTACCTGAGTAGTTGCTGGTTTTGCTTGTGTGCACTGTGCTATGAGAGACATTTTAGCTGTGCTGCTGTAGCGCTGCCAGTGTCGTCTAAATTTTAACGGTGCTCTTCTGTCATGCAATAAACGCGTCATTTTCATATCGCGATATATCGTTTTGAAATATCGTCCAAATCTGAGCATTAGCCTGATGCCGATGATTTTTAAAAAAAACAAATATGGGCCGACACAGTATGATTCCAATATCATTGTGCAGCCCTACCCATAAGACTTTGTCCTGGAACTTTACTGGCTTTTAAAGCACATAGCAGATCTTGCCATTCCATTCTTGAGGCTTATCAGTGGATTACGTCTTGCACTAAACCCTTTAAGGTCATGCCTGTGTATCCCTTCTCTTTATGATGGTTGAAATTATTATCTGCTGCTGTGGTCTTCTGTGCTCTTCCAGGTAGTTTGCTAGTACTAAGTGTTCTTGCTTCTTATCAGTGTACCAGACAGTTGATTTTGATGCACCTAATATTTTTGCTGCAGTTAATCTATTCAGATTTTTAAGCCTGATGATGTCCTGTTTTACAGCCAATGATATTGCTTTATGTTGGAGACATCAGACACAAATACCACTACAAATGCCGTTCTATCCATTGTAGAATCAACACAACACTTAGTTGATTAGTTAGCTTTCTTGTATATGAAATCTAAGCTGAGCCTGGGAATGTTCAGTACTTTTGTCAGTATGACATTTTAGCTTTACAGTAAGTGTTTCATTTCCATTCCAGTGTGCTGGAATACAGAGCCAAAACTGACTGTAATTACTACACTGCAGATTAGGGGTTGAGTAATAAACTACAGTCATGAGTAATAAATGATAATCATGCTGTTATTATTTAAAGAAACTTCAACTTCTTTGTCTTGCTTTTTTTAAAAAATGTAAAAACTGCAAATTGACAGGGACAACAGGGTTATTAGGGTGCTTTATATTATTGTAAAGCTATTGTGATACTGGCAAGGTATTACCATGGAAACATTTGAGTCCTTCTATTGTTCTCTCTGTGTGTTCGGTTTATTCTAGAAGAAGGATGTGCGCATGATGCGCTTCATTCAGGAGGTGAACACCACCACTCGCTCCTGCGCACTGTGGGATCTGGAGGCAGATACAGAGTACATTGTCCATGTGCAGTCCATCAGTATGAGTGGCACCAGCCCTCCCAGTGACCCTGTCCTTTTCCGCACTCCAAAAGAATCAGAGAAACTCGCCTCCAAAAGCCCTGGTAAGTCAGAGGTAAATGCCTCAATACCTGACATTTAGACCAAATAAAACCTCTTGAAATGTTCCCCTCCAGAGCCTGTTTATTAGTGGAAACAGAACATTGACCAAATGCATTAAAGCAAAGGTTATGGTAAGCTTATGAAAAGAGGGTTGAAAGATGTTTTGCAGCAAAATCATTTCCATTGAATCATGACTGCATGAAGGGATAAACACAGGAGGGTGGCTGTTATACAGCCACTCTAAAAATACACTGTAATTCAGATAAAATTGCTTACATTTGTGCATTTCCCATATAATTCCTCATTGCAGGATAGGCTGTCTTATCTACAATAACCCACAATATGGCCAGTTTTATGTTTTATAATCCATTTAGTGACCCACTTACTCAGACAAACTTCCGCTGGGCAGATCTGCTTTAGCAGAGCAGCCATTTTATTATCCGCACGGGTTCGCAGCACTGAATAACTGGGGTAACCGGTGCTGACATTTAGCTTGAAACCTCGGCCATGCAGTAAGGGGTCAGGCATGATTCACACTGTGCGAATACTGAGGTGACATGGAGAGTGATGGAGAAACTGATCTGGTGCAGTAGAAAAGCTCAAGCGAAGCTTCGCTGGAGGCCCCTTTTTAACTCCAGACGTCTGTGAAAGCTTGGCCATAGCCGCCAACGTTTTTTCTGACTCCCACATCCATTTCTGAGACATGGAAAATGACCAAACGTTATTTTCCAGGAACCATCTAGTATGAGTCATACAATCTCAGACACACAATATGAATACAAGCCTTCAGGAGAACATCCTTCAGCCAGGTAAAGCAAAGTGACAAGCAAACAAAAGTCAGTGTTTTTATGGATTTTATTCCAGTCAGCATGATTATAGATGAATGAGTGGGTGATGTGTTGATTGCCCCTTTCAAAATGAATTGAAATATTGACTGTGTACAGTTGCACTGAGACTTACAGGACTTCCAAATGCAGTCATTAGCTTTGATACATGTGAATATTTTATGGGAAAAAAAAGTCTTAAAGTTGTGCACATTGTCTTTTCCTGGTTGGAAGCAGAAACTTACACAGTGCTTGTCTCCATTTCAGCCGTCAGGATGCACAAACGCCTGAGCTACTTTACGGCTGGGTCACACTAAGCTGATGCCACATGTCAACTGTGACAGGCAGATAACGGGAGCATTTACTAAAAAACACTGTTTCATAATCAGCCATTAGCACTACGGTACTCTCCAATTAATCAGCCAAGCAGTATTACGCTTCACTTCATTTCACATGGCTCGAGGGTGGCTAATGAACACGGACAGTTAATCTTTCTCTCCGTACGCCGCTCCCTTACCAGCGCTTCGGGGTGGCTTCATGTTGTTTTTCTTACTGGACTCATGACATGTATTGACATTGATGGTGAGCTGAAAAATGCCCAGACTTTCACTACTCAGAAGCCTGAAATAACCAATAACATTTCAGTTTTACCTGAAGGGTATCGACTTTTTCGTCCAAGGGACAGGGAGCAGAAAAGAGACAACTGGAACTCCTTTCCTTCGTTATGAGACACCGCTGCTCCATCAATCCAGCAGGCCGCGGCAGAGTGTCTATCCTCCAGGGCTTGTCTGAGGCTAATCAGTGAACACAAATAGGAAACTCACAAATTATCTTAATTACCACCAGGCACTTTAGATCTGCCGCCAAGAAGAAGGGCCCGGTCTCTTCTCCTGGCGATGTGAGACATCTCTTTTAAAGCAGGGATCGGAGAAGCCTGGCCTAAAGGGAACCTCTGAAATTCAGACACTCATCAAGGCTCTGGAGCTCTTCAGTAGTCATCTTCATCATCAAACGACAGCGCAAAATAGCTGCTGCTCAAATCTACGGCCCCAAGTCTGGCTGGAGACAAAAAGCTGTAAGTTAACTCAAATCATCCAATGTAGATCGCATTTAACATTCCCTTACAAAAGGTGCTGTAATAATTGTGATGTCTGAAAATTGCCAGATTACACGCTCTTTTCTTATGCCACATTTATCCAATCACATGCAGATAATAACAGCCCGACTTTCCACTTTAAAGCAATAGTTTGGTGAGAAATCAAATTTACGCTTTTCTCTTTATCCCAAATGTACGTTTTGCACCAGAGCTACGAATCTAATATAGCTAACATGTAGGGCCCGTACAACTTTTCACAGGCTTCAGATACTCATTATTGTTTCTAAATGAGACACTTTTTTTCTTAATACTACTCTTACAAACAATAGCATTTACATAGTATAATTAAGCATCATTTTTGTTCTTTATGAAATATTGAAATATGAAATTTGTAATAAATAGTTTACAAACATTTATTCATGCCTTTTTATGATGGATGTCCCAGATATGCTGCGAGGCAGATGTGCTGTAATGTTATGTCCAGATGAATCTGACTGGATTTTTTCTTATGTCCCTAGACAGCAGCGATGTTACCAAAGTTCAAGATGTAAATCTTTGTTTAGTGTGTTTTCAAAGTCAGTTTGGCTTATTTACTGAATGGAGTCAAGTTCATATTCCATTGCAACTTAGTATTCCAAGTTTAGTTCCATTGCGAGTGAAATGGCTTTGATATGCAAACATACATTTTGCAGCGAGTTATTTCAGTGAGTGCAGTTACATGCACTTAATAATCTGATAACTCAGCTTTTATTACATTGAGCCACTTTACCTGAAAATATGAACATGCATCATCTAGAAGATGAAGAGCATTTCAATACGTTATTTCGTCAAGCATGTAATTAGTTTCAGCGTTGCTCCAAAAGTGTTTTGCTGCCGTCTCGCGGTACTGTGGTCTGTATTTGCACATATGCAGAATGAGAAATCCTAAAGAAATCTGACTTTTACAAGAGTTTACATGCACTGAGAAATCTGAGTACTGAGCTAAAGTCCAGCTCACTTTATTGGATTTCTTAATAGTATTTCTAGACCTTACTCCGATCTAAGTAATCGGAGTATGCTGTTTACTGGGGGGGGGGTTGATTTTTAGATGCAAATCGTGATAGGGACGTGGACGATTCTGAATCGATTCACAAATGTCAAAAATCGGTTTTCTAAGTTTTAATTGATAACGTAATGTTGACGGAACACAGAAGGCGGAACTTGGAAGTGTGGAAGTGCAGTGCCTGGACAGTCTGTGGCTGCACATAACAAAGACACAAATGGATGAGAGAGAAATCCGATCAACACCCAATACATTCAAAGCTAGGTCAGGGGTCGGCAACCCAGATGTTTCGAAGAGCCATTTTGTCCTTTCAACAAAAATCCAACCACCTTGGGAGCCACAACATTTTATGTGCAATACGTCTTAGTATGTGCTAATGTCCTAGTATAAACGAAAGCACAGACTTTGCTCTGCTTAAAGTTTTTGCTCAACTACAACCACTTTCCTCCCATCTCTGACAGGACACTTTTCTGCAGCAGTAGACTAGTTTCTTGTAAAATATCTCTCAACATTCGATGTTTTATGAAGCAGAAGTCAGTTTCTCATTCACCAGCTTCTTGTTCGAATTGTCCTGTTCCACCTTAAATGTACCTGAGGCACCAGAATGTAACTGCTGCACCATTTAAGGTGGAACGGGAGAATTCGAAAGAGAAGCTGACTTCAGCCTTGCGACTTTTTAATGTTTGTCAGTTTCTCGTTGCAGATTAAAAGTACCAGGAAACCAGCTGCGGTGCTTATAAATGCAAATCAGTCCATTTGTCTCCAAATGTTCATCTTAAATCTGTCAATTTGCCTTTTCGTTAGCTACTAGCTAGGGGTGATTGTCTGAATTGCTATGTGACCTGCAGTCTGTACGCCAGCCTTCAGGGTTATAGGGTGGTGATTAGCAGCGTTTAAGACCATTTATTGTTAAAACAGTGTTAGAACGATCAGCAGAGCTTTATTTTACTGCAAAGGAGTATTATTTTATTTTTACCTGAAAGCCTAATTCTGTCGTGGAGCCGCAACAGGGCTGTAAAAGAGCCGTATGTTGCCAACCCCTGAGCTAACAGTTAGCGTGTGGAAGCACTTTGGAGTTGAAGGGGAAAAGGACCTGGACGGGAGCCACACTACATGCAAGTTCTGTCACACTAAACTAAAATATTTTGGAAGAGATAAACATGATATTACATATTTTTATATATATATTTCCACCCGGTTGTAGTTGCTGCCAACCAGAGGACCATCAAGCAAGCGATGTCAAAGCTTCTACCCAACTCGGGAAGGGCGAAGCGAATTACAAACTATCGCAACTTTTATTGCCAAGGATTTGCTTTTGTACTCAGTCATTGAGGACCAGGGCTTTCAGGCTATGTAGGACACTTTGGAGCCTGAGATACAGCGTCCTGTCTCGAAGATATTTTACTGACATGGTGACCCCCCCACTCTGTACAACGAGACCAAAATCGAAGTTATGGAATCACTGAAGAAAATAGGTACAATAGCTGTAACGTGATGCGTGGACATCCACTGCCACAGGATCTTATGTCGCTGTAACAGCGTATTTTATCACAGATGAGTGGCAGCCAGTGTCTCATGTGCTCCAAACAAGAGCAGTGAAGCAGTGAGAGCCTTCCAGTTCATCACATCACTTCCATTTGTTTTACTATTAAAAGATATTAGAAGTAAATTCATTATGGATCATTACAAATCGCTGTTGTCGGAAGAAAACCTTGTATCTCCAAAATGGTACATTTACAGGAGAAGGAAAAAACATACTTTACTTGTAAGTCAATGTAAGTCAATGGAACCAGACTTTTTACCAAGTCATTTTGGGACGTTTCTTTTGGTTAATTCGTCATGAAATTTACACACAATGTAAAGAGCAACAGGCGTTTTCAAATTATTTCAAAAACTGAAAAACAAAAACAAACAAACAAAAGTGCAGATACAAGGTTATCTTCTGACAGAAGCAAAATACTTTGCTTTAAAACTACCAAGTCCTCACACAGTGAGAAAAAAGAAATCCTGTATAGAAAAAAGATGCATCAAGATGCATTGATAATCGTTTTATAATCACATCGCAGCCCTCTGAATCATAATCGAATCGAATCGTGAGGTGCCTAGAGATTCCCACCCCTACTGTTTACGTGACCATTTGAATAATTAGATAACTGCAGAAATCCGATTATGATCGGATTAATAAGTGCATGTAAAGGCACTCACTGGATGCTAAATTTGAATAGATTTGAATATATTTTTTCTGTTTGCAACCTCATTAAGTTGTAAGTAATTTCAAATAGACCTGCTTATGTGGTTTCTGACACTGTATGACATACTGCTGTACAAAAACGGACAAAAGCACAGACAAAAATGAAGCTGAAAGATAGCTGCTACTATTGTTTTAGCTAGGCTGGGTACTTTAATTTTACTAAGAAAACCTCAAGACATCCAACATGACTTGGTCAATTAACCAGGGAAAATGATGTAAACTAACTTTTTTTTGTAATTTTCTTTCTGAACTATTGCTTTAAAATAGAAAGCTGGGCACTCATTTGATTAGATGAATGTGTCATATAAGAAAAATAGCAGGTAATTAAGCAATTTCCAGACACCACTAGTAGTGTTGCACCCTCTGTTAGGGAAATGTTAAGTGAGATCTACATCAAATGATCCAGTCAGATTTGAGGCAGTAGATTTGAGCAGTCGCCTTTTTTGTTGTTTTTGATAATGGAGATGACTATTAAAGAGCTCTGAAGTAAACTAAAGGAGAGAACATCCCTTTAAGAGAGTATGTGTGTCTTCTCTTCTGTCAGATGAGGTGACAATGAAGGAGGTTGGCCAGGCAGCCCAACTGAGGGCTGGAGAGCTCATCATTATAGTGGTTGTCCTGATCATGTGGGCAGGTAAGAGAGCTTTGTGTTTTAAATTATTGGCGGTTTCATTATCTGCTGTGAAAACACAGCTCATTACTGTTTTATCATAAAGAACTATATCCAGTACAGGTAACTTTTTCAACCTTAGCCACACATCATTCCACTCCTACCAGAACACCAGTGGTGTTGAGCATACATATGAATAAGATTTCACGTCAACTAAGCAGCATTAGAGCCTGTCTGTTTTTAATTAGAGAGTAAACGATATCAAAACAGGCTTTGCGTTGCTGATGAGTGTTCTGAGATTGATTCGATACGCCTCCCCTCCCCTACACTCTGATCCAGCGATGGATATATTTTCCTGCTGCAAGTGAGGGCTGTTTGAATGATTCCCTGCTGAATCGTGTACAAAGTGGCTGAAGTCTAATGGGAAAAACCTCTCACTCACCATGTGTGTATATGTGTGTGTGGTGTGTGCGAGAGGGAAAACAAGTTGAGTGGGAGTTTCTTTTGGTCTAATTGGACCTCGGGGGCCCTCCGATTTCTGTGTAGTCCCCATCGAGCTTGTGGGAAGACTAGAGAATAAATCATCAAAAATGACAGTTGTGACACAACTAAAAAAAAATGGAGCAGCTCATCACACTTCCTGAGTTCGTTTATAATTGGTTTGTAATGTTTTCGGTCACAAAAGTAGAGTGATCCATCACCAGGTTTTCTATTATCTCCTTCCTTCCCCTGACGTCGCCCATCTATCACTGTCCCTCTCTCCTCTTCTGTCCATCTCAGTCTCTAATTCGAACTCTTTCTCTCTCTCAGGTGTGATAGCTCTCTTCTGCCGTCAGTATGACATCATTAAAGACAATGAGCCCAACAACAACAAGGACAAAGCCAAGAACTCATCAGAGTGCAGTACCCCTGAGCACCCCACAGGGGGCCTCCTGCGCAGCAAGGTCTAAAAGCACCTTCCTCCACAGGCAATAATGGGCTTTAGCCTCAGGACATGTATGTTTGTTTTGCAGTCATATATTATTTTAAACATTTATAACCTAGTTTTTCTTAACAAAGGTTTAGCCTGTGTGGACGATAGGGTTGGGTGGTATCCCCTTTTTTAATACCTTCAAACCTCAAACTTCAAAATTCAAAAAAGTCAAGTGAGTGACAGAAAGTTTACTTTGAATCTGTTACATGATGTTTGAGACTGTAGTGTTTTGGCCAAACATGCCACACAGCACAGGCTTGGTTCCAGCGAACTGATGCTACACCCATTTAGAGGATATCTGGAAGCACAAAGTCGAGTGACTGAGTGAAAACTGATATTGAACGTGTTCTGTGGTGTGGCTTGCTTAATCACGCTTAAGGCCACTGAATGATTCCCTGCTGAGTCATTCAGTGGACCCAGACCATGCCAGCAAAATGGAGCCACTGGACCATCTCACCATAGGCGTCAAACATTCAGGCCTGTCCCGTTCTCTTGGTGTACGCTGCACATGCACTCACTCACTCGCAGAGAATACAGTGAAAGATGACTCTACTTGAACTTGATGTTTATCAGCGCTTCTACTGCATGCGGTGCTCTAGTAAACCAGACTTAACGTTTTCGGTGCGCAGTGGCCTTTAGGTTTTTTGAGGTTTTTCCTGGCTCTGATGTTTCCTCTCCTTCTTTCAGCACCCTGTATCAGTGAGCTCCAATCAAAATATTTTTTAATGGAATATGTTTGTTTGTCTCTTCAGACATAGAACACACCAATCCTGCAACCTTCATTCGAAACCATTGTTTTTAAAATTCTGTGCTGACGCGTGTCGGTGCACGGTGATTCTGAGCTGTGTTCAATTTGTTAGCGCGTCACACAGCATTTTGCCATTACTATATTAAGTTAAATCCATATCTAGACCGCAGAAAGCCACATGAGATAACATGGGGCTTAAATTTTACACAGAGAAAGGCAGTCCGTTTTTAAATAAATAGAGAAATGCTAAAGGTCATTTACCTCAGCTAATGCTAGAATGCTAAAACGTTGGTTCCCTGAATATTCCCAATATGCTTAAAAACAGTGAGTACAGTGAAAAGCTAATGCTCATGTTTATTTTTATGGAGCACAGTGGAAATATTCAGGGAACGAACGTTCTAGTGCACTGAAACGGTTTAATAATGAGACACCCTAGAAAATGGCTGATTCCTTTAGCAATAAGTAGTGCCTGAAAGTAGTGCCGTGTCTTCAGCTTGACTTTTTGGAAAGTTTTAAAATGGAGAATAAATGCCTCACTGGCCTCCCAACCTCGACAAAAGCTCATTTTCAAAACTAGTCTAATAAAGGTCATTTACCTCAGCTAATGTTACAGCCTAGTCTTTTTCACCTCATACCCTTCAGCTCGAAAACAGTGAGCTCTTAGTGAGGCTGTAAACCAGTGCCAAGTCTGATTAATGATGGTGAAGTTTATTTCATTAAATTTATACGGGTGCATTCCTGAGCAAAATTAAATGGGCCAAGCCCAAAACATAATAGTTTTTACTGATGATTTTGGCTGGTCAGAGTCCAGATTTTAACCCTATAGAGAATATTTGGTCTCACATTAAACACAAACTAGCTTGGCAATATTTTAATAGTTTAAATAGTTTAAAGCCGTCAGTGCTGAGTGGAAAAATACTGACTCTTCTTTCTGTGAAAGGTTGCCTGTAAATTTACACACAAAACCTCAACATTTAAAGAAGTCAAAGGGAGACGCTCTCCTATATCAAGTTACTGTGCCTATTTGTTTAATGATTTATTGTTAAGACCATTTAAAGCTTAATGTCTTGCCATTTTGGGCTTGGCTCATTTTTTTGCCCAGGAGTGCAGAATGTAAAAATCTCAGCAAATCAGCATTCCTACTCGACGTGTTTGGTGTGACGTGGCTTTTAGTTTTTTTTGAGGCTTTTCCTGGCTCTGATTTTTCCTCTCCTTCTATCAGAACCCTGTATCATGAGCTCCCACTCTGCCAATCAAAATATATTTGAGTAGAATATATTTATTTGTCTGTTCAAATGTAACAAATTTGACGTCATCATTTTTAATACCAGCATCGTCTTTAAACACTGTGGTAGATCTTGTAACCATCCTACCACCCAACCCTAAGTCATGGTCAGCATAGCCATGTTTGGTGTCCGAAGCTTCTTTAGCTTTGCTCTGGATAAACAACATACAAGATCATGGACAAAGTCGGGTATTAAACTGCTGCTTTAGCTCGGCAACATGCATTTGTCTCTTCGTATAAACGTCACAGTGTGTCATACAGTGTCAGAAGCCACATAAGCAGGTACTTGAGATTATTAACTTGGCAGTTTAAGGCAAAGGTGATATGATTTAGGCATGCAGTTTGCACAGTGCTAATTGGTGGGTTATAAGCTTCCAATACCTCTTAGCTGCTTTAGCCTCATTAGCTCAGATGAAAGACTACAGAAGCACCAAACATGGCCTGGCTGATTGACTTCATTGTGGGATAGATTTTTCATCAAACTATGAGTCTGTCCCAAAGAGCTCAGTTCAGTAGTTAGAGCTCTGCTGAAGGAATCAGCCTTTTTTTTAGGGGGTTTTATTGGTAAATAATTTCAGTACGCTAGAACATTGGTTCCCTGAATATTCCCAATATGCTTAAAAACAGTGAGTACAGTGAAAAGCTAATGCTCATATTTATTTTTATGGAGCACAGTGGAAATATTCAGGGAACGAATGTTCTAGTGCACTGAAACTGTTTATCAATGAGACACCCTAGAAAATGGCTGATTCCTTTAGCAATAAGTAGTGCCTGAAAGTAGTGCCGTGTCTTCAGCTTGACTTTTGGAAAGTTTTAAAATGGAGAATAAATGCCTCATTGGCCTCCCAACCTCGACAAAAGCTTGTTTTCAAAACTAGTCAATTAAAAAGTTGACCAACAATAAAGGTTATTCTTCTAGTAAGACATATAGTTATCACTGTTCGCTGCTGTCTAAACTGTTCATAGCAGCCTGTTGGATACCAACCAGCTAACCAGATGCATTTATATCTCTGATTAAGTTATAAGCTTAAATGTTGATGTGTGCTTTTACCTAACAGCTGTAGCCTAATACGGAGCGATCTCTAGCACACTGTGTTTCACAGGTGTTGCACTTTATTCATCAACTTCTTAAACAGAACATGACATTGAAAGTAGACTGACCAGCTTAGCAGATAGCTAACAAGCTAAAAGGTTCTTCATAAATATTCAGTTACATGCTTTTGGTTTAAATCTTGACTGTAAGGGTCACTGTAAGCTGCAGCACTCCTGGGCAAAAAAAATGAGTCAAGCCCAAAATTGCAAAACATTAAGCTTTTAATGGTTTTAACAAAATAATCAATGAACAAATAGTTAAAATAACTTAATATAGCATAGCTTTTCCTTTGATTTCTTCAAATGTTGAAGTTTTTTGTGTAAATTTGCAGCCAAACTTTCACAGAAAGAAGAGTCAGTATTTTTCCACTCAGCACTGACAGCTTCAAACAGTTGAAAAACATTGCCGAGTTAGTTTGTGTTTAAAGTGAGACCAGAAATTCTCTATAGGGTTTAAATCTGGACTCTCACCAGTCAAAACCATCAGTAAAAACTATTATGTTTTGGGCTGGGAAATTTTTTGCCCAGCTGCACAGCTGGCAGTTCGTTCCCTGGCTCCTTGCACTAAATTCCCAAACTGTCATCACCACTGAGCGAGCTTTTCAGTCAGCAGCTATGACAGAAGAACACCTAAACAACCTGGAATCAGCCAGAAATGAACCGAATACCATTCGCCAAACGTGTGGTCTCATCTTCAGAGTCTGACCATAAAATGCCACTATATCAAGTTTAGCTCAGTTTTGTCAAATTTTGCTAGATCAGTATTAATGTTATTTTGTTCCAGCCAGTCTGTAAAGCATTTACAGCCCATTTTGTTTGGCGAATGGTATTCAGTTAATTCCAGGTTGTTTAGCTGTTCTTCTGTCACAGCTGTCGACTGAAAAGCTGCCCAGTGGTGATGACAGTTTGGGAATTTAGTGTAGTCTCATCTTCAGAGTCTGACCAAATCGTCTGTCGGTCAAACGTGATCTTAGAAGTATCCATTTTCTGTTTGTGCGCAAAGTAAGAAGTAAAAACGTTCAAATGGCTTAAGCGTCTCCTACAGCTGTCAAAGTCGTTGCTTAGCAACGGCGTCTCAGCAGATTGATACAGTGTTTGTGAAAAAAACGTGATGTTATGGCAAAAAAACAGCACGGTTAGAACGCTTTTCATCTAATCAGCTTGCGTGGCCGGAACTAACCATTGTATAATTTTTGTTATTTCATTATTTGTAATCAAATATGTAATCAAATTCTGACAACAACTCAGTACAAGTTTTCTTTTAACCCTATTATCATTTGTTTCCTCCTACAGAGCTCTGAGACATACTAGAAAGCCATCCAGCGACATCATTGTAAAACAGACTGAACTTCCTCATTTGAAAAGACTCTTTAATATTATATCCTTTCAAACAACATGGAACCATGGACTTTGGTGCTTGTCTGCGAAGGACACAGAGACAACCTCCCACTTGAGCACATCTAAAGAGCGGAGTGGACATGAGAAGTGGAAAGTGCCAGACCTCGGTGCGAAGTATTCCCTCGGGTTTGGATCCAAACTGGGAGACGGTACAACCAGAGCTGCTGCCTCAGCAGGAGGTCCCAGCATGCTGAAAGCTGGAAAGCCAGGAGCGCTATACCACCTGAGGGGCATGCCTTTGCCTCCAGCGTCGCCTCACACAGATAAGGCGAAATGTGTCATCCCCTTGGAGGCAGATGCTAAATAAACCAGGGTTGTGCGATAAACGGAGGGGAAAGATAGTTTTCTCAAAGCTTTCTTCCTTTATCAGTGCATCATTAGAGCACACTCACTGAAGAAGGGGGTAAACTAAAGATATTTCACATGTCGCTCTCTTTGCCGTTTTGTTCCTGTTTTTATCATCACACCTTTTGTTTTTCCTTCCATCTGTTCTATTCCCATTCCTGTAGTTTTCTCCAAAGCAGTCACAACTGTAAATTTGATAATGTTTATTGGTGCAGTGGGATTTCTCTCCATAAGCACTCTCTTGCTCTCAGGGCATCCAAGCAAACATCCACAGGATAAATAATAGAGTGACTCATGCTGAACCATTTTGACCGAATCGCACCATTCAGAGCAACCACAACTGAACCAACTGCGATATATTGATGGTATATTCGTATATTAATACAGTGATAGAAATATATATTTAATCACTTGTGTGTCTTGAGTAAAATCAACAGCTCGCTGTCTCTGATGAGCACATAAATGTACAGTATAAGTTACTTTGGTCCTCATAACGTAGTACGGTCATTAGCATATGTTTTACGAGTGCCGCTATTACGCTTCTGCTGTGACGTGTGGCTACAATAGAGAATCAGGTGCCTTTCCTCCAGGTGTTCCCTAACGTTTAATGCCTCCTTTAAGACCTTCACTCTTAAATTCCCTCTCCACTCGTTTACAAGTTCTTGTGTAACAGATTTTTCTCTTTTGACAGTTTAAGTGAGTGAGATGGCGGAGCAGTCTGACAGCAGACTGTCACAGATGGACTTGTCAGTTACAGCAGAGTCTCTGATGGGGCCACTGTCTTTAAGAACCAGCCTCCAGGGTGAGCTGAACAAGTCCTCAGTTGTCAGGCAGCAATAAAGAAATGTGCTTAATGCAGGTCAGGGGTTGAGGAAGAATCAATTGTGCCTATCACAGGCACCGCACATACATGCTTTATGCTCAGAATATTAGCCACCATAATACTGCACAAGTAGGACATGCATGGGAATTAGTGGGTTGTAGTGTACGCTCAAGAATAAGGACTACACTGTTAATCAAATAAGCCTTTTTGGTGATGTATCTTACTCCAAGTCAATGAAATGTCAATAACTGACCTATCTGTGCTTTTCCCAGAAATCCATACTTTCTTTGCAGCTGTTGCTAGGGTGGCAAGCTTTACAGAACACTGGCAGAAGTCCCATTTAACTTAATGAGAAATTTAGCACACTTTGTTTAGAGTTTAACTTCTACTTTGAAATACAGACCATTATTTTGTAGTTGGTGTTTGCTGCTGTCATATTGTGTAGTAAAGAAAAATCTCCCAACACTTGGGCCTGATCCCATTTCACCGCTTACCCCTACCACTTAGCCCTTAGTCCTCCGTTTTGCACATTCAAGGGGTAGGGTGTCCTGATTTTGTTGAGATAGAGGGGTAGAGTGAAGTGTTAGGGCTACATGGCCGTTCAAACGAATGTTTCTCAGAGGCCAAACAGAGTGTTATGAAAAAAAAAGAAAAAAGAAAAACCGGCAAGATGGCTGCGCAAGTGACCAAACAAACCCACAAATGTGAGTATTTTCTCTGTTAAAACATTACGATAACAATTGTATTATCATAATCTAATGTCATTGCAAAGTATTAGGGTCCTTTTCTTCATAACAAGTATTAAAATCACCAGTAGTATCCTCATGTCTCCATAGCTAGCTAGCTAAATTTGAACAAGAAGCTGGCGAATAGCTGACTTTAGCTTCATATCACTGAAGAATTAGGGGTGGATGGTAATAAATAATTGTCTTATCCTGCCTCTTTAAAGGCATATGATGCCCTAAATTTAACTAAACACCAGCAGTGAGGTTGCTGAACGTTACCCTCCTCTGCTATCACTGCAGACTGGCAGGGTTGCCTACAGAGCACTGCTAGTAGCTGTTAATGAAGCAGTGTACTTTTTATTTGAGGGTTGTCCCATTTCGTAGGGGAAGATTTCAACCACTACCCCTTGTAACTCAGTTCTAAGGGGCATGTGAGACACTCGAAAACAAGGAGGGGGGGGGGAATAAGAAATGGGTTTGGGTCTTATAGTGCTTGTGCATTGAAAAGACACAACGTGAAAGTAAGTCTGATGTTGCACTTCAGCATTACTCTATAGCCATACAAACTACTCCAAGCATAGGCTACTATTGCCAAAGCCTCTTAGCTACTACATTTAACAAAGCTTTGTGGTTTGTGGCGTATTTTCACAAGGTGGTTCAGTGTGCAGCAGTGTTAGTTTGCATGTAGCAGCATTTCTGTTTCTGCTTACCTACAAATTTTAAGGATCAGTGATATTTGGAAAAAAATATATAGGATAAAATGGATTGACATTTTTGTAACATTTTTCTTTACCGTAACAAGCAACAGAAGTGATTTTCAAGAATTCTGTTCATTTTTCCCCAAAAGAGAAAAGTAGCTACAAAACTAACTACAAAATGATGCACAAATTCAGAGGCCTGTTAGGCTTCCAAGCTGGACAATGTTGTTGCAGCTAATGAAAACTAGGTAGGTTGGAAGTAAAAATGATGCATTTGCCACCATGTTTATATTAGTTTTGGGATTTTTCTCATACGTCTGTCCAACCTTGCAATGGTTTCTACAAAAGAATGCATTTGTGGGTGGGGCATGTATAAGTCAACTACATTTCTTATTAATCCAGTAGTAATTTCTTTCTGTATGTGCATGGGAGGACTTGAATGCAGCTCGTAGGTGAGGCAGCGATTTGTATTCAGTACCCTCACTGCTCAGATTGATGACGGTTTTAATCAAGTGCGTTGAAGGGTACCTGAAGGAATCTCGGTGCAATTAAACATTCTCCTGTCCAGACTAGCGGCCATTACCTCCTCATTTCCATCAGGCTAAACAGACTGTCCTCTCACTCTGTGCCCGTCTCCGACTCATCTGCTCCTTCGTTTTTCAAACTACCCCTCCCACCGTCAGTGCCAGAGACCCGACAGTTCTCCTTTAATGACTGCTAATTAACCTTGGCCACAGGGGAGAGAGCAGGAGGGCTGCTGGGTGAAAAATGGCTGATATCAATATTGTGTCTAGGCAGCTTACATAAAAGGACAAAAGGGAAGTGGGGTGTGAAAGTTGGTTCACGCCAAAGAGGATTACGTTTTCCTCTTGACAGATCATTTTCCTCCCATATTCACTACTGTTCCTCGCTCCAAACAGATACAAAGAGGCAGAGAGGTGTTCAATGAGAAAAAGGCTGCCTCAAGTCAGCTACAGTGTTCCTAAGCAATGTCCTGCTGCATTATAAGGCTGGGCACACTGGCTCCTGACCCAAAAAACAACCAGAGCAGCAAGCTATCATTACTAAATGCCTGCGATCATGGTTCCCGAGTTACATTCCACACTCGGTAATGGCTTTCAAAGGCGCTCTCCCAGCCTTCTAAGCTTCTATACTATTCTATATGCCTTGAAACGTATCCACCTCTTTGATTTCAGCACTCTTCTGCTATGGAAATCTTCATGTAAAGAGAAGGCTCAGTAATCAGAGCAGGATTCTCCTTCAGCTATTAACTCACAAGCAGCACAGTTTCAAAGTTACAGTAGATGTAAGAGGAGGACGCACCTGAAAACTGCACCTGTCTGCTTCTGTTTGGATCTTTTACATTGAATGTAATCATGGAAGTAATAATCTTATTGGTCCAAGAATCTATAATCAAATAATCTATGGTCTGATTACTGTATTATTGTGACTGTAATGAATTATACTGAAATGAACAGTGCCAATTAATTTGGTTAATATGTGCCATGATACAATACAGTACTATGCAAAAGTCAGAGATCATTTAATTTTCAATAATTGTCAAAATGGCAATTATGGACCATTTAGTTATCATTTAGTGCCATTAAGTTTCATTTTTCAGCAGCAACAAACATTTAACAGGAAATTACAGAGAAGCCTCACACTTTGCCTTTATTACAGGTTCTTATCTTTGCCAGTTTTTCAAAGAAATCTGCAGGGATATTTTACCCATCTCCAAAGTTCAGTCTCAGAAGTTAGTTGCATTTTCTGCTACTCACAATCCAAATAATCCCAAACACATTCAGTGATGTTGAGGTCTGGACTTTGGGGTGGTCAGTCAGTTGTTCTGAGAACACCAACAGCTTCTTCGTTTGATTTGCAATTGTTCCTCATTTTTGTTTATTTCCTTTTCTCAGTGAGGCTCAGACCCATAGCATTGGGTTGCCTTCTCACTGTGGAAGTGGAGCTTGATTTTATCCTATATCTCAAAGATGAAGCTTTAAGTACACTCTTAGCAAAAAGGGTTCTATGTAGTACCCAAAAAGGGTTCTAACAATAGTGGAACTCTTTTTGGTGCTATAGAGAACCCCATTCAAAGAGGGTTCTATATAGAACCATCTACAACACATACTCCATCAATCTAAAGAACCATTTCACAGTGCAAAGAACCCTTTAATCATGCAAACAGTTCTTTTAGTGTTCATGGTTCTATATAAAACCATTTTCTTTACTAAAGAACCCTTGAGGAACCATATTTTTTAAGAGTGTACCATTTATCTGAACCAATTTTCTCTCTATCTTTTAATAATTTCTTCCTCCTGAAGAACGAATAACTTATACTTAATGGCCATTTTGACTGAAAATTAAATATGTGAAAGGTGGTCTCTGACTTTTGCACAGTAACATATACAAACGATACATTACATCAACACAATTACTGCCTCTCAGTTTACCTACTTTAGCAATAACTGTGATGATGTAATATATTTTATTCTTGTATACCATCGAATCTTGCAAACTCATTGCAGTGTTTATTTTACAGTGTGCATTTTTAAATACATATTCTGTTCCATTTTGCGTTGCTACCTAACCTGTGGCTGCATGCATGCATACCTAAACAAATCTGACAAGCCAAAAGCTGTGGAACTAAAATCCACTTCAACAACTATTCAGAGAGAGAACAAAGAAAAGAATCCCTCAGAATATAATTAAAATGGTTTGCACCCCCTAGATAT